TATATATATATGTGTATATATATATGTATATATGTATTTAGCAGAACCAGATGCAACACAACTCCGACGAGACTAGTTTGGGTTTGATTTTCCGAATCTGAGCACCATTGCTATGCATTTACATATTGGATGCGGTATGACTTGATTGAGTGGGTTTGGTACGAGCGTCCGCGCAGACTCCCGAGGCGAGCTGAGGCTGGACGAGCCGTGTCATAGCGATACGATTTTTTCTTTGTTAAACGTGTTTGTTTGTAGTTTGTTGGTTCTTCATTGTGTGTATATTGTATGGGTAGTATGTGTTGATCATCATGATCATGACCTTAGCTTTATCTGTAGGTTTCTGTCTTTTCTATAAATCAATAATAGCCAGACGGTAACGGTCCATGATCGCTGGATGATTCAATTCTTGTGTTCGTTTTCGTTGACACGGCTCACTTCGTGACATTGTTGTTGGGGCAACCCTCCTTGCTCGGAATGGTGATTCCTACCGCTGCAACAGCGGCGCTTGATGCCGACATTGTGGAATTCGTCGCGCCGATACACGACGTACCACCGCACGCGGCCGTACTGGAATTTGGTCCGCCGCTATTGCTGGCGACGTTGCTGTCGCCATCCTTCTTGAGGCGTTTCGCCGGCCTCTCAGCCGGACTCGACGAAGGCGGCGGCGGTGGAGGCGATTCGGTGACGCCAGGTCGCCAAATGGGTGCGGGCGATGCCCCGCCCTGCGAGTTACTCCGGGCAGGAGATGACGGCGGTGAAGAAGCGGCTGCGGCAGGAGCCACCGGCGAGGGGAGAGTGCTCAACAGAGCGCTCCACGGGTCCAGGCCTTGCGCCGATGAGGGTCACTGAAGCGACATGTAGGACCAGTTGAAGGAGTTCCCTGTAAACATCCAGAGGAAGAAACGCACCGGTACACGAAACACAGAGACACACACCCACGCACGCACCCAAACGGATACACAAAACAAGCAAAAGGAGGAATTAATACTTCATTATTGGTATTAGCGATGTCAATGGCTTCCACTCTGTGTCTCGTTTCTGTTGCCAAACTGCCCCCACGTGGCCGCAAAACAGCAACTTTACCAGCGAGGCTAAGGGCCAAGGGGCGGAGGACAATGGACTATTATTGTCCTACTTTGTAAAAAAGAAGAACTACTATCGGAGACCAATCAATGCTAGGACGCGCCAGATTACCACGGATAGTGCACAATGCTCTTTTCTACTGTATTCCGCAGTTACAGTAATGATACAATACATCTAGCAATAAAGGGTTGTCGTTATTTCCCTCGAATATCTGTATACATTTTATACTTAGGTAATGTATGTACTAGTTGAGGATTTGATATGCTCAACGCACTAAGACGAAATTAAAAAAAAAAAAAAAAAAAAACAGAAAGAAAGAGGAGCCTTACCCGATAGCAGCATGTCCCTTATCAAGGTCTCAATAGGCGTCTTGCCGACGAGACGTACGAAGAACAGTTGCTCGATCACCTGGGAGCTCACAGTGCGCAGAGATGGCAACCGTAATAGCAATTTGCCAAACCGCGCCGGCTGTTGAGGATACTGCGAACGACAGTATTCCTCTAGGGCGCATTGCGCCTTTTCTTGCAGGCTTTCCACCTGTGTTACATCTGACAGACCGCAAGCATCTGCAATCGAAATTGACAGGTAGACACATTGAGGACTCTATTTCGATCGTTGTAATGTATGTAGATAATCGTACAGATTGCCTGTTATAATTGCTTCAATTTGCTAAATCAGCTGCTCCATTATGAGCTAGTAGAGTATGGGAATCAGTAATTCTGTCTGTCTTCTTCTATTACGGTCATACTAAGCATTGACGAGGTTATAATCTAAGCAAGCGGGATTATTGCCAAATGCACCTTTACTGTTTGCCTGCTGTCATATGGCGTATACATATACACATATATATATATAGGATGTCCCAAAAGATGTACATTATTTAGCACCCTATTCGACTAGGATTCGGCCATTGTTCCTTTTCAGGCTGTAATTAATCGAAGATGATCAATAGTCTAGAACTATCGTTTAAACGAAAAGGAAAATTTCACTTTAAAATGCTATTGAAAGGTAGCAAAAATACAGAGAGTTTCATACATAAATACACCTTACATCCAAAGGCTCACAATTAATCGGACAAAAAATATGTTTAAGGACGTTCATAGATAGGGCTAAGGTAACGTTCGAAGAAAAATCACTGCAAAATTATAAGATTTACTTAAGAATCTATAAGACGTATGCTTGGCGGCGGCAGCAGCGGCAAATCAAGTGGCCATCAAGATGTTATAAATGCAAAAATTTATATGAGTATTTCTAAGAAAAAAAAATCTATTTACATTATGAAATAAAGCTAATTTTTGCAGACATTTCACTCATCTTCACGACGCTCTATCTCAAATCTCAAAGAAGAAGCATTCCGACAGTGTTAACGCGTCTACTAGTGCCGAACGTCAGCTTTGAAACGACAGCAACGCCGACCCGATACGACTCATTCTACTTGAACTATGTAACTTTAAAGCCATCTAGCTAGAAAAACAGTCAGTACTTTTTTGACAGCTCAATATTTCCCCATCGTCGCAGCTGCGGAAGCATGGCCACCGCTACCTACCAGACAAATTGCATTATTATTATAAGCGAAATAGTACTTGATTCCAACATAAGAGCAACGCGATCCTGGATGCTACATGAACCCTGAGCAGAAGAATATAAGCATCCCAGCTAGAAAAAAAAAAAAAAAAAAGAAGAACTGGTTAATAGCTCCTCCGCATCATCTACCGCCTATGAATAAGCTGAGCTTAACAGTACGACGCGCGCTTCGCTGGAACGAAATCATACGTGTCATTGCACTCTTCGGCGGCCGCCGCTGAAGCAGACGTTACCACGGCTACCGCAGTCGAAAACAAAAATTGTAACACACGACTAACAGGGGAAAGGACAATATACGGCACATTGCACGCCAGGCTCCGACGGAGCGGACGAAGGCTGGCGATCATTGTGGATAAATTCAAGAGCGTAACGTAGCATCGGCAGGACAGTTAGAAGCGTTAGACAACGGCAACAATTACAACGGCTACGAAGCCGCCGAACAGAGGCAGAGATGACGATATACATAGACATTGCTGTCAAGCACCAAACTAACAACCTACTAGCCGGTTAAAACAGCAGTCGCATGTTGGCCTGCAGGCGGCTCACCGACCACATGTGGTTAAGAGGCGCTCCTGCTGTTGCTGAGTTTAATTGCGATGGTACCTATAGCCGCTGCTGCAGAATTCATAGCAGCAACAACAGCAGCAGCAGAGACGGCAGGAACGCTGTGCAAATTCGGTTACACAAGGCCCCCTTTCCTTCTCCTTTTGCGTGAAGTCCCCAGACAATGCTCCCAGCACTTGAGGAAATGTGCGCTTTCGGCGCAAACCGCCATCTGCAATAAGGACATGAACTACAGGATGGTCGCCTTGAGAGTCCACAGCTGATACGGGTTGACAGGTATTCTTGTAAAAGCAATTTTCGAATTCTGCTTTCGACGAGCAGCGCATAGGGAGATACGCCCGTAAATCAAAAGCCTCCCCAAAATCAGCCCCCCAAGGCTACACGAAATAGATTACAGTGTTGTATTGGCTATCTGTGCTCTGCCAATTGCCGTCCGAAGATTGGCACACTTAAGCAACGCAGTAGTTCATAGACACCTAGACGACATTGTCTGCTAGGAGAGAAAACAGAATCGCGGGGTTTGCATTCCTTTTCCCCGCGCCCCGACAGGTATTGCTTTGACAATCTCCTTTGCTGTACATTCTCGGCGCTGTCGAGTGCCTCCAACTCGGTACCGGTAACAGAGTCCCCTCCAGCGCCTTTCCCCACCGTACTGACGTAGGGATTGAGTGGAAACGACTGGGCAGGCAATCGTTAGCGTACGCCTGTCGCTTGTTTCCACTACCAGATCGCTGACATCCGTTGGTAATGGCGTTTGCTGACGGCAACGAACTACGTTACCTGTTTCGCAGCTTTTCACATGGCCAACTTATCATCTCCAGAACACACAAATACTAATACTGTTGGCGATACCAGTTAGTGTGGGACGATAATGTAAGTTGATTGAAAGTTTTCTGTTGCTAGTAATGAACGTAAGCGACCCATATGCGTCGATGTTATACAGTGCGCTGGGGAATACATACTATAACGTGCATACATATTAGCTGCATCAGCGTTATGCCGCTTCGATTTTACAGACGCGATAATAGTACTTGTCTATAATTTTATAGGTGCATGCTCCTATTGTAGATTACATTTTCATCCATATGATTTTAGTTGTACGAACGAAGATTTATTTCAAAATTAGCATAGGTATCCGGCACGATTGCCTCGAGGGGCAATCAGTAAGAGTCAAAAGCAATCTGTATGGCCTACTTAATGGAGATAGGTTTGAACAAACTAATAATGAAAGCAGACGCATACTTTTAAGGCAAAGCTGCCGTCCAATTTTGCTTCCAGTCATAATTACTTCAGGTGATAAAAGCATTATAATTGTACTAATATATAATATAATACTAGCTAAAAGTGCAACTAGATCTCGTAAAATAACTACGACAGCTCATCAAATAATAGAATGAAGCACGAATTTCAACGAACTCATAAACGACCAATGGAAATGCCGTGTCCTCAGTCTCGTTCGACTTAAATGACTATTGTATACTTACGGCGGCGCTGTATTACAAGCAAAACAAGCTCGCTTAACAACAGAGACGATGTTTGCGCCCTCTGTGTTAATAACGGCCAGCACGACCGTCGATGCACTCGCGGAAAAAACATAGCAAGTACGTGCAATTCGCGCGATACGCATATCCTTGTTCAGGCAGAGGTGCAATATACGCCGATTTACATACGCATCCACAGAGATACGCATAGAGGCGTTAACAAAGAGAAGAGGCGAAAGAAATCCTAAATAGCGTTTTGTATTGGTATCGAATAGACGCCCAACAGGGCAAGTAAACTGTATAGATTAGCACCAGCGACGGGGCAGCAAAGGCGGCATTCTGCAATGAGCCTGTTGCTTTTGCTGCAGGCGTTTACCAGGGGAACTACTGCCAGCATTACGTCTGAGATAACCATTACTACTTCAGCGACAAGTAGTATTACAGCTGGCCTCAAGGTCTTTCTTCGGTCCATTTGCTCGCTCCCCCTTTCACCCCATCCCCTCGTGCCACCAAACGGTTCTCTTTCAGAAATCCCCCTAATAGCAAACGAGTAAAATTAATAATAGTACTGGTTACGATGATAATACCGTTTAAAGATTTCGTTAAACTTAATTCTGCTTAGCCACCGACGAACAAACGCTGCCATCAATGCCACCCGGCAGAACACGTGGTATATATATATATATATACATTCGAGCACGACGATATATGGATGCAATCTGCTACCGCAGCTACTTCAGCCGCATCTATTGCCTCGAAGGACAGGCGGTGTGTTAACATTGGCGCCAGCCACGTTACAGCAAGTCAACGAAGCGACTCTTCGACGCCTCTTCCCCGCTCCTCTTCCGGACTCTTTGCCCAATATCATAATCGATGGCGTTGATCATGATGATAGCGATCAAGTGAGCACGTTACACGTTCGTTCGTACGTACGCTTTGAGGTTGGCCGACATCGGCCATAGCGCTCACGTCTGCCGCTTTACCACTTTCTTGCTATACCTCTCCTGTGTGTAATAACAATGGAATTAATAATAGACTTGTAGTCATGGGTCACTGCTGTTATTAGCAGTGGAGTTCTGCTACCATAACTGTTATTACTCCACAGAGCAGCAGTGACGGTGACCGGCGCCATGCTTGCCGCGCTCGACACGTCGTTGCTAATTTTTTTGTTTTCGTCTTCGTTCTTCCAGCTACAAGAGCAGCTCGTGCCTCGTCTTCATCAGCGTCTTCACTCAGTTATCCAGTAATATGACATTCACAAATTACCGTTCCAATACAGGATCCCCTTTTTCTGCAGTGATGTCATTTATTAAGCATCGTCGCCTGTCGTCCAGCGCTGTCCAGGCAATGATGATTTTATGTAGCGAGCTATCAAATTAATTGTGTAGCCTTATTATTTTTATTGTTTATTCATCAATTTCTTTTCTGTTCGCCTCCCGGTCTTTGTCATATGTCCTAGTTATCTATGCAAATGTGTCAATGTGTGAGTAAAAATGTGTAAATATATAACGATATGTTTATGTAGACATATCTTTATCTTGCTCTGTGCCACTATGCAGACTTCGACGATGGCGCGAAACGATGCGCTATCGAGATAAAAATATTGTCTCCCGGTTAGAAAAGCACACGTGAACAGGTATATTTATCCGCTATTTGTACGGGCACTGTTGTTATGCTTCTATAGAGATGTTACGAACGCCGGACAGCGCTATCACCAAGAAAATCAAAACATCTTTACTATTGAACGAAATACCGGTAATAATAAGAACTTATTATCTCGAGAATGGAATATGCATATACGAGCCGTGGTAGATTACAATTAGGATCAGTGGCCAATAAAAATTAAAGGAATGATTCGGGCATCGTTATCATCTAATTAATCTCCCGCGTAACCCTTGGAGGGCTTCGGTCAACACCTGAAAAGTGTACCCAGTTTA